CGGTGAAATGAAGTGAAAGAGCACCCCGGTACAACGAGTCCTTGGTTGTGAATGGTGTGAGTCCCTTTATCCATGAACTGACTGTCTTACTTCTACTTTTTCTCATGATCCTGGCTTGAGTCTAGTACTCGCATTGAGAGAGATAGGGAACGTCTTAGAAGACCAGTTGACCTCGTAAGCTGCTATATGATCTAGGAAATCCTCTACCGATGATCGAGGTTGTATGTTGCTATAGAGCTCTGGAGAGTTGCATTGGTTTGAGTTAGGTTTGCTTGGGGACAAGCAAACGGTTAAGTGTGGGGGGATTTGATGACTCGATATTTGCACATGTTTTCCCCTTTGTTTCTTGATCGTTTAAGCTTGCATTATTGCTTCTTTGGCCTATTTTACGCTAGGTCGTGTTCCTTTGTCATATTTCAGGTCCTAGCACATAAAGTGAAGCATAGGCGCAAGTTTCAAGTCAATCAGAGATCAATTGGCGATTAGGGAGAAGAAACTCGGGCATGACCTGAAGAAGAATGGATTTCTACCCCACTTTATGGACAAAGAATCATGCAATCTTGTCATGAAAAGAAAGAGGACAAGACTACGAGCGTCTGGGATCAAACGGCGACTGATTCGGAGTCCGGACGAGGGAGAAACGAAGCATTGAATATAGGGGAATAGGTTCGGCAGTAAAAACACGGGCGCACCTAAATCAAAACACGGCCGTGCCCATATTTAGGCATGACCGTGTTTTGACCGACGCGCTCGAGCGTGTTTTTAACACGGGGCAAAACACGGGCGGTCAAAAGCAAAGCACGGCCGTGCCCGCGACTGTGTTTTGCCCAGAATCGGGTTTTTTAACCCAAATTCGAGCCAAAGGAGATGGATAGCTGGGTTTTGGATCCCAAACACCCAAGGGACGAACCAAAGAGAGAGGGGGCGATTTGAGGGCATTCTTGGAGTGCAATTGGAGGATTTCTTCGCCTTGGAAGCTCGAGGAATAAGCCCGGACTTGAAGACTGATCATCTGAAGATTCTTACTGCAGTCTCTCTCTTCTCTATGGAGTAACTTCCCTTCACTTAGGTTTTGAGGAACCCTAGCTATGTTTGTTTGATTGGATGATTGTATGAGTACTCTGACTTGATAATCTTGAGTTCATATTCAATCTATGCATGTTTTCACGATTCAATTCTGCTTTAGTCGAGATTATTGATTCTGCTTTGATCCTATGAGAGCGAATACCTGATTAGGTCAATAGAGCACCATAGATTGATAGTAGTGGATCGATTGCTTTAGTCGAGGGTTGATTCACTGCTTTGTATCGATTGAGAACCTCATTCGATAGAGGGAGTCTAGTTCAGAACGCCTTGATCGATTGTTCTAGAGAAGGATACGTCCCTCTAGGCAATTGACTCAAGAGGGCCTTGTTCCTTTAGTCGAGACTCAAGGTCTAGTTAAGGATTCTCCGCATTGTGAATGAAAGTGAAACAGGTTAGAGATCATCAATCATTAATTTGGCTAGTGGCTAGGGGGAATCATACCTAAGTGAGTTCCCAACCTGTAATTAGATTAACTTTAACTGTAGTTTGCTAGAGTAGTTTTAGTTCTTTCATCTTAATCTGTTTTGCTAGATAATGAACTAAAGCTGAGTAATAGTAACTCTAGAGACCCGTGGATTCGATATTTATTACTTGAGCCACTATACTGCAGTCCCTTTCATTGGTTACACTTGGCCATTGTTAGGAGTTGTGTTTTAGCGAGTCACTGATGATACGCTCATTTTCTGTGACGCGTCATATGATCAAGTCACTATTATCTTGGCTGCTCTGGTCTGCTTTCAATCGATCACTGGTTTGAAGATTAACCTGAACAAATCCGTCATGTTCACGGTTGGTGCCATCCCGGATCCAAGTTTCTTTGCAGCTCTGATTGGTTGCAAGTGGAGTCGAGACCCTTTTACTTACCTTGGGTTTCCGCTGGGAGCTAAGTCTAACTCGACTTGTTTTTGGAATCCCGTCGTGGCTCGGTACCATAAAAGGATCGAGGGTTGGAAGGCTCGCCACCTCTCTTACGGTGCAAGGCTCACTTTGTGTAAGGCTGTTCTATCTAGTCTCTCAGTTCATCTCTTTTCCATTTTCAAAGCTCAAAAATCCATCATCAGTCTCATGGAAAAGCTTATGAGGAAGTTTCTTTGGAATGACAATACTGATAACCACAAGCAGCCGCTTATTAATTGGAATATGTGTAAAGCTTTGAAAAACAGAGGTGGCATTGGCATTGTTGACCTGGACATCTTTAATCAAGCCTTGATGTCCAAGTGGCTTTGGAGGTATTCTCGTGAGAACCAAAGCTGGTGGAGAAAGCTTATCGAAACTAAATACAAGCACCCCCAATCTACGTGGAAAACTCGCGTCTCCTACACCGGCATCTCGACTGCTCCATGGTCGAACATCTCAAAAAACTATGATATGTCCTGGAAATTGGTTCACATTGATCCTGGTAGTGGCGCCCATATCTTCTTCTGGCACGATTGTTGGATTCCCAGATTAGTTCTCGCCAACACCTTCCCTCGAGTCGTTGCCGCTGCTGCCAACCCGGAAGCTCATATCATAGACAATTTTTCACGCACAGGTAATGGGTATCAGTGGTCTATCGATTTAAATATTAACCTTCGTGGGGGGGGCTGAGAGTGAGAGGGTCAGTTTCCTTAATATGCTTGATCATCACAGATTCTCCTTTACTAATGAAAGTCCAAGTAGGCCGATCTTGTCCCACAACCTGGATTCTTCCTTTTCTGTGCATTCTTGTTACAGGTTTCTTGCCAAGCATCGGTTTCCCGGAATTGATAACTTCCCCGTGGCTACCATTTGGAAAAATGTCATTCCCAGCAAAATTAATTTCTTCTTGTGGACTTTGTTTCACAAGAAGATCCCCACTCTTGATCTTCTATAAAGAAAGGGATGGCAGCTTGCAAACCGCTGCGAGCTTTGCTGCAACAACACCGAGACCCAACATCATCTCTTCGTCGATTGAAACTACGCCAAAAACACCTGGAATTTCATTGCTCAACGGTGCAGCTCCATTGCTTCCATTCAAGGCGATTTACAGACAATTATCACCAACTGGCCTTCATCCACCCCTGCAAGCTTGGAAGGGTGGATCATCTTCAGCGCCCTGCACGCCACTTGTTGGAATATATGGCTTGAACGGAACATGCGCATCTTCAATGATTCTAGACTCCCCTTTGAGTGTGTTGCACGCAGAATTTTCAAAGCAATTATCGAGTGGCTTGCAGCACATAACAAAGTCGACAAAAATGAGGCTACTTATTGGCTGAACCAGAGAATTTCGAGGAATGTTGTTCTCTTTTGCTGAGCTGTGGGCTGGGTTTTGTGTTTCAAATTACAGTGTGAGCAAGTGACGAATGGATTGCAGCCTACGGGGTGATCATCTATGTCCATGGGTCTAAGTTGCTTTGTGATCACTTTGGACGTTCGGTTTTGATTCGACTACTTTTTTTCCTCTGTCCGCACTTTGATGTTGCGGCTTTGAGTGAGCTTTGAATTTTTCTGTATTGCGGATTTTTTGTTTCTGGGCAGCAGGAGTCACCTGGTTGACTTAGCTCTATTTTTGTGATGTTGGTCCTTTTGGATTTTGGGCACCCCTCGTGCTGTTGTGTTTGGCTGTATTTCCCTTCTATTTTAATTTAATCACCATTATAAAAAAAAGAATTAAGCTAACTAACTATCCTATTACAATCTAGTACCTAAACTATATAGTTGTAGATATACAAGTTTATTTAATATGCAATCTAGAACCCAAGTGCATGAGTCGTCCATTGAAGCTCCTAAGAGATGTCTGCCAACGCCTTGTACTTTACTTCTGCTGATGATATGGAGGCTGATGATATGGAGACAATAAGTAACGAGAGAAATGCCTTAAAAGATAGAAAACTAGTTATAGATCGTCTGATATGAAGGCAGACAACCTAATCTGAGTATGAAAAAACACTTCGTCTAGTGTTTGAATTATAGGAGAAAAGAAGTCATTTGAGAGGTAGTTTAGAGGTATCGAAGGAGGAAATGGGTGGCATGTTCATGAACAATAGTTTGTGGCATCAACATATTGATTCAATTGATTCCCATCATAACAAATATCAAGTTAAATATTGCTAGAGGTATTGAAATCAGTTTATAAGAGTTTTTCCTTATCGAATCGCTGATATGATACAAATTAGCAATACACTGAAAATAGAAGATAGCACTAAAAATTAATATATGGTTGTGACATCTAGAACTAGCTGGGAGATGTTGTACAGCTTTCAATTCACTAGGTTTTTATTTTGACATAATTCAATTCATAAGATGAGTAGTTTGTGTTTTTGCTGCTGCATTTCCTTGAATTTGTAGCTAGGAAGTAGGAACTTAGGTTCACGGAAGGTCACACCTCAAAACCCCTTTTGGGTTTTTTCAACGTGACCCACATAAACTAATTTGTAATTTCAGCGCTAGCAGCCAGCTTGTAAGAGAAAAATCAGAGGGAAAATACTTCTTTCTTGGCTTTGTTGCAGTGTGAGGTAGTGTCAATTTGGTATCTAATGTTTTTTATCGGGTAATGTTTATTTATTAGCTAAACTTTTTTCAGATTCTTTTTTAACAGCCAAATTTATTGAAATACTAATTATTAACCAAATGTTAATATCTAATGATTTTTATCGGATAATGTTTATTTATTAGCTAAACCTTTTTCAGATTCTTTTTTATCAACCAAATTTATTGAAATACTAATTATTAGCCAAATGTTAATATCCAATTAGTAATTTTGCTAGTGATATTGACTTGGCAACATGATCCTGACTTGAAAGAGTCACATGGAGGTTGACAATCCAAATTTTTAGTATTTTAAGTTTTTAACTAAGAAAAGAGTCACAAAATTATTAACAATAACGTAAAATGGCTGATACTTTGACGTGTTACAAAACGTTTGACTAATTCTTAATATTTCAATATATTTGGCTAAAATAAAAGAATACAAAAAATGTATGGATAATAAATACACATTATCCTTTTTTATAATAAAGTAAAGAAAGGAAAATCAGACTAATAGACTATCACTAGTTGTTTTGGTTAGTGATTAAAGCGTGCCTACTAAGTACATGGGGCTAAGTTATGCCTAGCATCAAGCTCTCATTTCCAAACCTAACTACGCAAATTGTCTAGATACAGCCACCTTGCAGCAAAGGACCACTTCAAGAAGCTTTGCACATTTCTATTCCTGAGCTTCCTGCACATTTCTTTAAGACCACTAAACCTTTTATATTCACATGTTATGGCTAGGATAGGAGGTACCCCTTGTAGTCTCCCTAATCAATCACAAAGCTTGCTGATCTGCCTGCTGCCTGAAAAAAAAAAAACCCGCGTAAAGCTTAGGGAAAATGCTGAAATTACACGCGACCTCTCGGCTTGATGATTCTGTGACTTTCTTAGGCATATAAAGTTTTTGGGGAACTAACCAGCGAAGGGTGTTTTAGAGTGGAAATGTTGCAGGTATTGGTTTCATAGTCGCAAGAGAGCAGCAGCCTCACATGTGGAATGCTCTTCCAACTCTCTCCCAGAGCCGGTTTAGGGTTCCCCCGCTCTCCACCTACCATATGATTGGTCACCTTCCAAAACCCAAGTCATTAGGAAAAAAAGAACTATCCGATTGTGAATCAGATCCAAACACTCGGAAGTAAACTCAAAAGTATCAGCTAATGACCCTGTTCTAACTACAAAGAAAACAAGGCAATCTCATACTAACTAACCAGGATTGCGATATCGTGCTCGTGTGCTAACTTCTTCAGCAAAACTCCTAGAGATGCCATCAAAGAATATCCTGTCATAAACCAATGCCCAAGGAACGAGCTTTAGAATGATCGAGTTGAAGAAAGAAAGAGGCCTAACAAGGTTTAGAAAGGCAGAAGAATGCCATACAAAGACATGATATATCATATTACCCTGCGAGCTGCCGCCTCCAAGGATAGGTGTGATCAACGAGGAGACTGAATCAACTATCAGTAACTGAACCTTACAGCCTTCCATGCATTCCTAAACAAGCACGAAAGGCTATTCAGCAGCAGGCAACCAAGGGGGTGTAATAGAATGTGACATTGCAAGTGTCGTTATGAAAGCAAACCTGTGATCCCAATCTGAACTCCAACTGGTGTAGCATATCAAACAACAAAGAGATTTCGAAAACCGAGTGACGCCATATTCTGCTCATCACTCTATGTACAATGCCAGCATCGTCCTGACTGGAGGGAGGACTGCCGTTCTCAGAAAGGAAGTGACGTATACGTTTGCTTGAAAAGAAGTTCCCTGTAGACAAAGCTAAACAAACCAATTACCCCTCAATTCCAGATTTCATGATGAAGAATCAACTTTGATTGGAATGCATTACTGAATTAATTACCTACTTGGGTTTTGCCAGATGAGGACGGTCCTGCTAATTCGGTCAACTGCCCCACCCGCAATCCACCATGGAGAAACGAATCGACACTGAATATTTCGATTTCGCAATCAGGGCAACAGATATTGTACAAACGCAGAAAGGGGGTTTTTGCAGCGAAAGAAGTAAAATTACGCTGCGATTCCAGTTGAGAGGACGCGTTTGTTATCCATGGCATCTTGCAGCAGCTCCAGGCCGTCTAACCATGGCTGGTGCAGCGTATCTACGATCGAAAGGACCTGGCTGATGCCCTGATTGCACGAATTGAAAATTACCACCAGCAATCTAACTTCACGCGAGTGCAGAGATTGGGAGAGGAGGTGTCTGACCTCTTTTAGTCGGAGGGACGCCGGCTGGCTCTCGGCGGCTGCGGCCAGTGATTGGGAGACGGTTTATGTGGCTGACGAAAAGGGCTTCGGATCCGGTCCAGCTATCTGGGCTTTGTTCGAACTTCCCATTTTGGGCTTTTAAGAGTCCGGGTCATCACAGAGCTAAGAGGTTGTTTGGAGGTTAGTATTCTAAAATCTTAATGTTGTATTAACTAATTCAAGTATCAGGTACATAATTAACTCAATTTAAAAAATTACACCTTCCAAACGTGACCTAAGATAGCGAATTGATGTGCAAATGGAGATAAATTCCCTTTTTCCTTTGGTAGAAAAATATATTGCCGTTGACACGTGCGGTAAACAGAAATTAACAGGATAATATAGAGAATCCAAAATCGAAATTCCAATAATATTCACAGTCACAAACCGAAATTCGACGACGGTAGCAAAAGGAGAAAAGGAAAGCGACATAAAAAAATAGGAAAAGCCTAACATTTACTGATTCCTATTGTCTTTTTATTGAGAACGATTGATCGACAGAAACTGTTCAGCAGGTCACTCTCTGGTGGATACTGCTCGCAAAAGCTCACTTGGATGGTGGGAAGAAAATCTCATCGGAAGTCCTAGTACCCCTGAACTTCTTCTCAACCTCCGACGACACCTTGAAAGAGGCCTCCAGCACCGCCGGCGACAGTGCCTTCCACACCGACGTCCTTCCAGCCAAGTGGGTGAAGACCGGACTGCCACCACATAATCAACAAGAAATTAGAACCCACTTGAAATTTCCAGGCACTGAATCATCCAAATTCATTCAAGAATTGAAAAGGGGAGACAGGAAGAACTTACTCTGGAGTGGTGATGATTGAGAACCATGACATTCCATCGGGATCACAGATCTTCGACACGACGAAGAACCTGGGCACGATGAACAATTGCCCAGCCTTAACGGTAGTCTCCAACACCCTCTTGCCATCCACGCCCACAACCTGAACCCTGCCGCTTCCACTCACAATGTAAGTCACCTGCAGCGCAGAGTCGCAGGAGAAGCCAGGGGAGCACATTGCGCCTCCATCCAGCTTCACCAGATCGGCGCCCAGCCCGATCTCCGCAACCAAGGGGAGATTCTTGGTGTTCAACACCACCACCCTTCCTCCATTCTTGATGTCGACATCGAGGGGGGCTTCCTCGCAGTTGTACACCAATCGATCGCGATCCTCCTTCTTCGGTTCGGGGAGCTTGATTGAGCCGTCGAGCTTGACGATTCCTTTCCCCGATTGGGACCCGACGAGAGCCTTGACGGTGGTCTCGTCGACGTCCCAGGCCCGCGAGACGAACTCGCTGGAGAAGCCGGTGAAGATGCCGTTGGTACCCGTGAGGTAGAAATCGGTGAACGAACCCGCCTTGTGGCCCTTCGAGGTGTCACCCAAGAACAGGACGATCAGCTCCGTGTCCTCCTTGTTGTACCACCAGGTCACAGCGCCAAAGGGGAGCGCGATGGCGTCGCCCTTCCTGATCCCGATTACCTTCTCGTCCTTCTCCGGGAGGACAACTCCGGCCACTCCGTTACCTGCAATTGAAAATACACCGGCGGCCAAACAATCTCAGCTACGAATAGAAACAAACTCAATCATGTCCAAATTCCAATCCCTAAAAAAAAAAAATTCAAATCAAGTGCCGCCAGATCAAACGAGACCACGCAATCAAGAAGGGAAAAATACGACCATTATTGATCAGAAATCGAAATTCAGAACGAACTCTCAAGCTCAAGATCTGAAGGATCGAAAGGAAGGGGGAAACGGACCTTGAAGAACATAGGCGACCTTGGCGGAATCGGAGTAGCGGGGGAGAGCAAGGCCATTCTTCTGTAGGCCGAGCTTGGCGGCACCGATGTTGCCGCGCTTGAGCATGCCGAGGTCGTCGGGGCACCAGGCCTGGTAGGAGCCGCCGTCGCCTCCGAAAACATTCTTGGGGAGCTTGGGGGTCAGATCGACATCCATGGTTTCCTGGCTCTTTCTGGTCAACCAAACAGCACAGCTAGCAGCAGAGGGGAAGAAAAAACGTGGGTCTGATTGTTTAGAGGAGGGAGGGAGTGAGTGAATTAGAAAGATCTGTGAGACCCGATTATATATAGTGGGGGCGAGGAGGAGGGAGGAGTAAGCGGATAACGACTGGATTAGAGAGTTTTTTTCTTTGGGTAGAAGACTGGAAGTCACGTAATTAATTATTAATTAATAATTAGAGAGAGTAATGATAGTAGTGGGTCACGTAATTTGTGTGGAGTTGGAGCCTGGAGGTTAACTCGGGGGAAGGAAATCTCGGGTCGAGGTTTTCGGGTTGTGGAAAAAAGAGCACCGTTTGGTTTTATGGACGAAAGGGGAAAAGAAAATTAGACCGTAGCCCAAAAAATAAAATTAAATCTTTTTGGTTATAATCCTTATCTTACTATCCGCCTTATGGATCACGATGGTAATAATATTATAATCAAAAGTCTTTCGTATTATATACTAGTTTGTAACCCGACTCGTTGGACGAGACGCTTGTACTTGAGTATTTATATTTTATGCTATGTTTAATATTATCAATCCGTTTAATTTTATCGACAATCCTTCAATCGAGATGATAAATAAAAAATGAATGTTAAGTCGAATATTTGAAGAAATATCATCATCATTTAAGAATATAAAATATAAAAATGTATCCTTATTCTCATTTCATAATGATAATTAAGTCTTCGTTAAAATGCATCCTCAATGCTCTCCTTTTAGGAACAACATGCCACTAATAAAAAGAAGGGTAAATACAATTTAATATCCAAACCTTTCATTTTAAACAATATAATAGCCAAACCTTTTCGAAAACAATCTAATATCCAAATCGTCAACTTTCCTTTCGTTTGACCGTTAGTTGACACTTAAAAAAAGTTCGAAGTACTATGCTTCATCAATATCCATCGATATCTTCTCTGAAAAACCACCAACATATCGTGGTTCCAAACCCGAGAAGTCCATGACTCCACCATGATGGTATAAAATATCTAAATATTCAGTCATCTGCAATGCCAAAACAAGAAAACAAAGTTGTATTGCGACAATTTCCCCTAAACAAAGCTTTTTTAAAGTGTTAACCAACGGTCAAACGGACGGAAAGTTGACGATTTGGATATTAGATTGTTTTCGAAAAGGTTTGGCTATTATTTTGTTTAAAATGAAAGGTTTGGATATTAAATTGTATTTACCCTAAAAAGAAAAATGAGGAGTTGTTGATTCAAGTCAACCATATACTAACAACTCAACTAAAAGGGGACCATCAAAACTTGAGAGCAAATGACAAAATTAGGTCTACCTCCAATATACTATTAGACTTTATCAAAGTAATAAGACACAAAATTAGACACTCGGTATCTACTAGTTCCAGTAGCTTGAATAGAGAATCGACCATAATTTCAGTAAATCAATCAATAATTCCTCATTAAGATAGACATAGGTTGTGGGAGCTCCAACAACCATAAACCTAAAGATCCATTAGCCACCACTCTCCGTTGTACAACCAACTTTTTATCTCCCCTATCTTCAATATCAAGAGGCATATGTTTGAACCCAAAATTCACTTCTAATCCCCTCCTCTTGCAACTCTATTTCGACTACTTTGAAGGACCTTCTCTCTGTGACCCTCAATTTCTCTTCAAATTTGGGTTCTTTTCAACTCACTCTTCAATCCTCTTCTTGTATTTAGCCAACTCATCTTACTTAGGGGTAGTTGTAATATGCTTGGTAAAACCAACCCTCATCTCCAATTCCATCAATATGCTAATCTCCTCCTTGATTGCCTCACATGCTCCGGCTCACTTCCATGGACTTCAATCCTCTCCATTTTCATTAATATCCTCATCATCTCTCACCTCTCTCTCTCCCTCTCTTCAACTACTCTAGTTTTGCTTCCATGTCTTTCAATACCCTCCTCAATTCGATCACTGCCCTTACCAACTCCCTCTTCTATGCCTTCACCTGATGTAGTTGGAGTTTACTTGCTATCAAATCCAAACACAATTTAACCACCTCCCTTCCCAAATAACATCCCTTCCCAAACCTAATCCCAACTCTTCTACTCCAAGTTCAACATCACCACCTTTTAGAGTACTGTTGCGTGAAGTCTTAATTTTAACAATCATTATGGCTTGCAATTATATTAATAGATATTAAAAACATTGACAACATCACCAGTGTCTAACTAATCCTAAACAATATCAAAATTTGATCGGTGAGATGGACCATAAGAATCGACATTGATGAAGAAAAATATTAGCTATGACAAAATAAAATATGGTTATAGAGATTTTTTTTTGACAAAAGATAATCTTAAATTGATTCAGAAAGAGATAGTTACACCCTGGAAATAAGCCAGGTCTGAAAATCAAAGAAACGACTCATGGTAGGGTACAAGGAAAGGGCTTTTCTAGCCACCATATGGGCTACCCTATTACTACGCCGACCTACGAATCGAATACTAAACCCCGAATGGATGTGAAAATAATACGCAAGCTCTTCAAGAACAGCACTCATCCGATTATCACTATGGTCACCCCTATTGATCTTGTCGATGATAACTTTGGCGTCACCTTCAAACCCAACCTCCGTGAAGCCTAACCCCAGACACCATGTCACAGCTTCCCTTAGAACCAGAAGTTCCACCACCAGAGGGTCATCCATGATAGGATACTGAAACCCCCTAACCATGTTGACCTCCCCAGTAGGGTAGAAAAGCACCACTCTCATGCCGAATGGGACCCACACCTCGTGGCACCGTCCCACCGACAGACCATTCAGTGAGCTTCTACAGGGTCCTACTGCCCAGGTTCAGTCAGGGGGCCGGGAATACGCAGCTACTGGGCAAACTCACCCATTCCTCATACTGTTGGATAAACTGTCGCATCAACACTGGGATTCCGAATTGGTTGCCTTCAAAGACCACCCAATTCCGAGAGCACCATATCCTCCAAAGAATTCCCACCACCGCCATAAATAAGGTAGGCTGATTAAGCAAAGCCAAGAGCCGCTTAAGAAAGAGAGGAAAAGTCTGACGAGGCAGTCCCTCCCCCAGGTACGAGCAATCCCAGAGGGCACGCACAACCGGACAGTAGAGAAATAGGTGTTCCAGCGATTCAGCACTGTCCCAGCACACTGGGAAACAGGGATGCACCTGAACATTCCGTTCAATGAGAGCTTCTGTAGTAGGGAGGACTCGAGTAAGGATCTCCCAGACAAACACCTTCAGTTTAGGGGGGAATATTTGCCTCCCAAAGACGAATCCAACTAGCTTTGTCCATACAGCTCACAGTAGGCTTCCACGCACCCCTTCTCTTATCAAGCGCAACAGCGAGGTGATAGGCCGACTTGACCGTAAACACCCCATCCGTTGTCTCATGCCAGATAAGCTTGACCTCCACATTCCGACGTGGAAGGGGAATAGTTTTGATTGCCCTACAAGTAGGAGGATCAAACCATTGGCTAAGTTTGTGGTCACACCAACGCCCCTCACCTGGACGAATGAGTTCAGCCACAGCCGGATCACCCCCATCTGGCAAAATCAACGGGTTATACTGAATGGGATCCAATTGAAACTGAGGGATCCAGTTGGAATGAAGCAACCAGGCCGACCGACCATTGCCAATTTGCCATCTCAGTCCCTTGTCCAATAACTGGCGTCCGAAAAGGATGCTCTGCCAACCCTAAGAAGGAGGAGATCGGGCTGTAGCATTGAGAAAGGTCCCAGCCGGGAAATATTTCCCTTTGTAAACCTGGGCCAGAAGGGATTGAGGGTCGGTCATAATACGCCACCCGATTTTGGCTAACAACGCCTGATTAAACTGCTCAAACCGGCGAAAGCCCATCCCCCCATCATGCTTACTCCTGCACACATTGCGCCAGGATACCCACCGAATCTTCAAATGATCCTCAGTCACAGCCCACCAGAACCTAGCCACATGCTTATCCAAGAGACGACACAGGGACACCGGTAATTTAAAACAGGACATCACATGCATTGGCAAAGCCAGGGTAATGGACTTAATTAATGTTTCCTTCGCTGCCCATGATAAAGTCCGTTGCTTCCAACCCTTGAGACGTTCTAGTAATGTTTCCTCTAAATACCGGAAAGTAGCCATCTTGGACCGGGCAAAAAGCGAGGGCAACCCCAAATACTTATCGTGGACACCCACCGCCCCGACCCCTAAAACCGCAGCCAGGAACTCTTGGTCAGGCAGAACTATATTATTGCTAAAACAGACTACTGATTTCTCCAAATTCACCCGTTGGCCACTCAATTCCTCATACTCATTCAAGACCACAATTAGATTCTCACATTCTTGGAGAGTCCCCCCTCAGAAATAAATAAGAATCATCAGTGAAGAATAAGTGAGAAATTCTGGGGGCCCGAGGAGCCACTTTAACACCCTGCAACCTCTTCTCCTCAATCGCCTTACGAAGGAGAGTCGTGAAACCCTCTGTGCATATAACAAACAGGAGAGGGGACAAAGGGTCTCCCTGGCGTAATCCCCGGGAGGCCGTGAAATAGCCATGTCGCAACCGCCCTCGAAAAACCTGGGCGTATCGCCCGAGGTTCGGTTTGGAGTCGCCATCGATCATATTTTGGGGTGGGTCGAACACCCTCTTCCGGTTTTAATTTTTATTAAAACCAGAATTCTGGTCTGCGAATTTTAGATTTTTGGATTCGGGAGTACGGTTACGTGTGAGGAAGTGTATTCACACCCCACAACGCCCAAAGTTGGTACTACTTAAATCGATAAGTTTTTAAAAGTTGGGTGTATGATAATTTGCGACTATATTGATGTATTTAATTGAATTAGTTTAATAATTTTGGGTGTGGTTCGGTTAATTATGTGTTAGTTATTAATAGTTGATCATACGTCTATTAACGTAATTCTCAAAATTACAGAAAGAGTTTTTAGGTTGGTTGGACTCGAACCTATCGGTTGCCTACGTACCCGGGTTAGCCGGGATCAAAGTCCACGTAGTTCGAATAAGTAACCTTTAGTTTTAAA